GAAGGGTTGAAGGAGCTGTCCAAGGTACTTAAATTATTTCAGGACTTCAGACAGTGTGAATGGTTGAAGGAGCTGTCCACGGTACTGAAAGTATTTCAGGACTTCAGACAGTGTGAAGGGTGGAAGGAGCTGTCCAAGGTACTGAAAGTATTTCAGGACTTCAGACAGTGTGAAGGGTTGAAGGAGCTGTCCAAGGTGCTGAAATTGCTGGAACGTTTCAGGACTTTAAACAGTGTAAAGAACTGAAAAGACTGTCCAAATTTCAGACAATGTTTCAGGACTGTAGAAAGGGAGAACGGTTGAAGGAGCTGTCCAAGGTACTGAAAATTGCTGGAATGCTTCAGGACTTTAAACAGTGTGAAGAACTGAAGACACTGTCCAAGTTTCAGACAATGTTTCAGGACTATAGATAGGGTGAAAGGTTGAAGGAGCTGTCCAAWGTACTGAAAGTATTTCAGGACTTCAGACAGTGTCAAGAGTTGAGGGAGCTGCCCAAGGTACTGAAAGTATTTCGGGACTTCAGACAGTGTTYAGGGTTGACGGAGCTGTCCAAGGTACTTYAAGTATTTCAGGACTTCAGACATRGTGAAGGGTTTWAGGAGCTGTCCAAGGTACTGAAATTGCTGGAATGTTTCAGGACTTTAAACAGTGTGAAGAACTGAAGAGGCTGTCCAAGGTTCAGACAATGTTTCAGGACTACAGATAGGGTAAAGGGTTGAAGAAGCTGTCCAAGTTACTGAAAGTATTTCAGGACTTCAGACAGTGGAAGGGTTGAAGGAGCTGTCCAAGATGCTGAAATTGCTGGAACGTTTCAGGACTTTAAACAGTGTGAAGAACTGAAAAGACTGTCCATGGTTCAGGACTTCAGACAGTGTGAAGAGTTGAAGGAGCTGTCCAAGGTACTGAAATTGCTAGAATATTTCAGGACTTTAAACAGTGTGAAGGACTAAAGGGACTGTCCAATTTACTGAAAGTGCTGGAATGTTTCAGGACTTTAGATCAATGAAGGATAAATGTGCTGTGTGATATTACTATTGGATTATTTTCAAACACATGACCCCCACCACAATCAGCCAGGAAAGGATATTATTTTAAAGGCAAAATCACAAAGTATCCAATGAACATCCCATTTCAAGTACCAAATATRAGTATCTACACTGGTGAGAAAAAACTGGCCAATAAAACGTTGTATTGACTAATAACAGTAGTATAAAACATAGTTGTATAACATAATAAAATAATTTCCCTTTCACTTTCTACTACCCACAATTACTATGAAAAAAGTCACTAGTAATAAAATAACAAAAAGAAAATCAACACTGTAACAAAATTAAAAATATAACAATGACAAAAACAAGAAAACATAACTTCCATTGGAATTGGGAATGAAGAACTGGAGATGTTTTGACAAACGTCTAAGTCCAAATGATTTAGAGACTCTGCACTAGTGACTTGATTTTTCCTTTTATTTGTAAAAAACAAAGTCAGTAGTGCAACTAAAGTGTAAACAAAAATATATGTTATCATGTTAGTATTGATCCACGACTTATATCTTGGTATCAATACTATTGCAATTTAAATCGATATATCACCCCTGTTTTTGAACTTAATTTTTCACTCATGTTTCTGTTTACTGCTGAAAGTTATATAT